GGACTTACGAGCAGCATTTTCCAGGCCATGGTGAGCATGTGGACTCGAACAGGGGGTCATGCACAGGGTCAGAAGGCACCCAGAGCCTGTGAGCTTGAACAGGGGGTCACGCGCAGGGTCGGAAGGCGCTCAGAGCCCGTGGGCTTGAACAGGGGGTCACGCGCAGGGTTGCAAGGCACTCAGAGCCTATGGACTTGAACAGGGGGTCACGTGCAGGGTCGGAAGACACTCACAACACAGGACCTCTGCTCCTCCACGACCTCCCCGCAGTGACCCAGAGTGCCCTCCTGTCACAGCCTGTGGGGGAGAGGAGAGTCTCAGGGCACTGTGGATCCCAGCGGGGCATGTATCTACACGCTCTCCTCACATGCCCCAGATCTGCGTCGCTTTAAAATATTTTGATAGGTTATAAGTAAGGAAGATTGCTGCAGGAGCAGTAAAAGTGTACTCACAGATGATTTACAAAGTATCCTGAGAGATCCGGAGAGGATCTCTGCTCACAGATTTTGCCAAAATCAACATTTAAACACCTCCATTTGGTAGAAGAGCAGTGCTATTGGAATTAGCCGGCAGCTCTTTCCTGCTGGGCCTCTGCACAGTCTCCAGACCCCACAGAGCAGAGACTATGACTTAAAAGCAGCTAAAAAGCTTGAAGAAATAGAAGCTAGGGATTAGGCAGAATATCCCAAACTTGAAATGGGCAGGTTCTTCCATGGACTTCTCTCCATCCTCCTTTGACCCAGTGTTCACGATGAGTCCCCTTCCTCTCTTTCTGCTGCCTCATTTTCCCGCAAGTTGTGCTGCCTTGAAACTTCCACCGTATAATTGCTTTTGATTTTATCTTTTGTATGTTCCCTTAGAAAGGTTTAAATATGATCATGTGCAGAGCCATTGGACAAATTTGTGGAATAACCAAAAATTACTATGCAAAACTTTTCTGAGTGACATGGAAAACTTTAACGCATTTTTATTGTTTTTCCTCTTAGTAATATAAACTAAAAATAAAATCCTAAGCACCCCCCAACAACTGATGGAATGGCCAAGGAAACCCCAGAAAAACCTTAAAGCTGCGTTCCTGGCCATGATGGGATGGGAGGCTGGACGGGCCTCAGATACCCCTTCCATTTACAGTTTAGACACAGAGGTTCTAAAACAGGTTATAAAATGAACAGTACAGACTCTTTGTGGCAATGAGATACCAAATTATGAACAGAACCTAAGGCCACTGCAGGCAAAGGTGAAGTCACACACCCGCATGCAAAGAAGAAACTGCCCTCACTGCCACAAGGTTTTTCTTTTCTAGCAGCCAAACAAGCACTGGCCTCAAATCAACATCAAACCCATCGGAGCTCATCCAGCTCCCAGACACTGTTCCGTAGGCCATAACTACAGCTCTGATTGCACAAGAGGCTGATTTCAGTAACTCTCCTAAGCAACCCCGGACCACAGACGGGTTCTGACCGGTTTACAGAGGCTGCCTTCACATTCTGAAAACACCTTTTGACATACAGGACCTGATTGTAATACATGTAAATGTTACATCTCCAACCCAAGGTGAACATGAGTCGTATGTTACACACGTGTCTGTTCAATACATATGTGTCAGCACCACCTTCGTGAATATCCACAGCTCTCCTGTGCCTGACGAATGTGTATCTTTAGCCAGCCCGTTCAGCCTGAAGCTCCTGCCCCAACCCATCCTCCTGGAAGTGCCCATCTCTGGTCTTGGCAGGAGGCTGGACTTCCCAGCCCGTGGGGTGGCCACCTTGCAGGCTGTAACCCTTTACAAGAAATAAAATCTTCTCTGCTTTTCCAAATTTATAAATTGTGGTTTTTCTAAAGTTAACGGCGGCTGTCTTGCGAATCATTTACTGAGCAATGATAGTCAGCTGTATGAGATGGCTCATTTGCCTAAATGCTTCATAGCTGCCGTTTCATTGGCGTAATTACCCGATCAGGAGTTAGGCCCTGCTGCCTCACGTTTTGTTATGAGCCGCAGCAGCATCACAGGAACTCCCCTGAAGGGGGACCTCAGGTTCCCACCAGGCACTAGGACCTCATGTGTGTTTGCATTTCTGGGCATTCTTACGGAATGTTTTAGGAAACAGTTGTGCTTGCTTCCACCCTCGGATAAATGTATCCCATTTTCCCACGGTTTTGGTGTAAATGGCTGTGGGGATGGTTGTGGAGATGGATTAACTTTCATACATGAGCAAACCTTGGCTCTGGGTGTTTAGATCTGCAGAATGCCCTGCACAACCTGGGACCCACCTGCCTGGGTTTCCAGCTCGGAAAGCACTGGCGTCAGGGAGACTCACCTGCACAGTTGCATCACTGTTTTGGCTGCAGGTAAGCACATCCTGTCCTTATTCCAATGCCAAAACGTTTTCAAGATAGAGGGACCAGCTAGCGTTCAGGAGGAACAGGAACCCGGCTGCCCTGGGATGGAGCCCTGGCGTCCTTCCTGGACCCCGTCTGAAGACATAAAGGCCTCAGTTTCTTCCTAGTCACGTGGGAGGACGTAGAACCCACTGCAGCTCTTGGTTGCGTTCTGAGAAAATGGCCCTTTGGCATCCTCTCGGTCACCGTCTGAGGACACGGAGCCCCGGACGCCTCTGCCGTTTTCTGCAGGAGGTTAGTCGGCTCCAGGCGCCGCTCTCTGCGGAAACGTCTGAGAGCTTCACCGCCCTGGTGGAGTCCATTCTCCCAGGCTTGGTGGCCGGGCCATACAAAGCGTACAGACACAGCAGGAAGGTGAGGTCCAATACACCCTCGACAGACAGCAGTTTAGCCACCCCCTTATGCAAAACCCTGATCCGATGCCTCTTCTGCCTAACTCCAGTCACCCGGAGCCTCGTCTCGTGGGTCTCCAGCCTCCTGGTCCAATCGGCTGGGCCCGCCTCTCGTCTTCCAGGACGCTCCGTCTCCCGCCGGAAGCGCCCTCCTCCTGGCGGAAACAGCTTCTCCCCGTCCCGCCCCTCTGTCCGCTCTTCACACGGGTACCACGAACACCCAGTGGCCTCCTGAAGACGGAGTCCGGTCTCACATTCCCCAGCTTCCTGTGAGGCTCCCCATAAAATGCAAATTCAATCGCAGGGTACCTGGGCTGATGTCTCCCCTCCTGTGCGTTCCCTTCTCCTGGGTCATCGTCGCCGCCCCCACTGTCCTCACAGCTTCCCGGCTGCACTGGTGAGGGACATTTCCTTCCATTACCGGTGAAAGGCCTTTGCCATATTAAATCAGTAAAACCAGAAAAACTCCCCCATCTCTTATCACATTGGAGGGCACGGAAAGCATACGTGTTACATGCGTGGTGTGGACGTTTCCTATGTCATAATTTCAGATGCATAAACCCCAGCGAAGGATGAGCGCACGGCAGGCACCTGCAGCATGGGGTTCACGTTCTAGAAGGTTCCGTCTGACTCCCACCCTGCCCTTCCCTTCACTGGCCGAGTAAACTTGCAGAAGTTACTTAACCCTTGACCTAGAAGAGCCTCCTCTCACCTGAAAAGGGAAAGTCGGGATTGTAAGGAAAGGAATCTCACAGGGCTTCTCTAGGAGACAAGTCATTGCGTTGGGCTTAGATGTTCCATCCATGGTAAGGTATGAAAAACAAAGCAAAATGCCCCCAGGCAGTAGCGTGACGTTCTGTCCCCGTTCCCGTCTTTGGTTTATAGGCTTTTCCTTCAGAGACTGAATGTTTCCGTGTTTTATATCCACAGATTTCTGACTTTGCCCTTTGGAGCCTGAGGAGCAAGGGTAGAATGAGGATAGTGAGGTTCTTCAGAGGCAGTTACGAGGTCACAGCGCAGAAACGGCAAGAAATGTCAGTTGTAAAATGCCCAGGTGCATTTTAAATGAATGGTTATTAAAATCCTTCTTTTTCCGTAAGGAATCTAAAAAAATTAAACAATTTGTAACTCAAACATACTTGTCAGGTAGCCTGAGTCAGAACCAGGAGAGGCTCCATGGTCTGGAGTCTCCAGGTGCTCTCCTTGGTGAGGGCTTGTTGCCTAAGGGGTTTGTGTAACGAATTCATTCTAATACAAGCAAAACATGAGTCCCTGAGAGTTGTTCAAAAAATCAGGAAATAGGAAAAAATAAATAAATGAGAACAGAATATTGACAGGAGAGGAAAATGAAGAGTTACTGGGAGATTTGAAGGAGGGGAAAAGGGCAAAGGGTAAATTTAGCAATTAGATTTAAAGTCAGTGGAGAATTAAGTGGAATAATCTATTCTTACGTCCATGTATTTTGGTTTTAAACTTTTGATTAATATTCACTCAACACTAATTTCTAACAAAATAGAATATTTTCTTATTGTCTGTTTTCACCACTGAGCTTGTAATATATATCCACTAGTAATTTTAGTAGATCATAACCCCTCCAAAGGAGCCCATAGAATAAACTAATTTTTGAAAGTCAGATTTTCTTCAATGAGCTTTTTTATTTTCAAGTTTGAAAAGCTTTAGAAATACAGAAAAGTAGAGTGAATAATGGAACCTGTAGCCAGGGCTCAGATTTAGAAAAACAGGTTTAATCTGTTGTTATATTGTATTTGTGTCATACATTTGACTTATTTTTATAAAATGAAATCTAGAATTTAAAAAATGTTGGTTTAAAGGATTAGGAGTAAAGTTTAACCCCATGTTTATTCCTCCAAATCTCTTTGTTCTACGGTAACAGGTCAGGACAACTACAGATGTGAAGGCTGGGAGGGGGCCTCCTTCCCCCTGAGGTCCCCAAAGGTATTTGTCTCCATCCAGAAACCGAGGGGCATTTGTCTCCATCCAGAACTTGGGGGGCATCCTTCTCCATCCAGGGCTTGGGTATGTCCTTCTCCATCCGGGATGGGGGGACATCCTTCTCCATCCATGATTCAGGGTTCATCCTTCTCCATCCAGGGCTGGGGTGTGTCCTTCTCCATCTAGGATAGGGGGACATCCTTCTCCATCCATGATTCAGGGTTCATCCTTCTCTATCCAGGACTGGGGTTCATCCCTCTCCATCTAGGACTGGAGGGACATCCTTCTCCATCCAGGACTGAGGGTCATCTTTCTCCATGCAGTACCTGAGGGACGTCCTTCTCTATCCAGGGCCTGAGGACGTCCTTCTCTGTACTCCCTTGGGACGGCACACTTTCCTGTGCCGTCCTTCAGAATGCCAGGCTGTCACTTGTTGTGGATTGAATTCTAGCATCTTATCTCTATTCTAGGTGAGTCCCTTCACATTTATAGTGATTTACCATTTAATCACTGTGCCATTTTCCCCAAAATATGTGGGGTTTAGTTTTTGTTCTTAACTTCTATTAATTCTTTGGTTCCCACCTCCAGTTTTTTTGTAATTTCTTTTGCAACTTAGTATGGTCCCATTTGGTAAGTATTACCATGTGTTAGAAAATAATGTATGTTCAGTATTTGTTGTGATTTTTAAACCTTTAATACTCATAAGATTTTTGTGTATTTTCCATTTAATTTGAGAAGTACAATCCCAGTTTTCCTCTGTTGATGTCCTCCCATTAGTCTCCCTGTGTGTCCTGGAGGTGAGGCCAGCATTGGACTTAACCCTGTGTCACCTGCTTGGTTCTATTGCTCATGTGTGGCATCCATTCTCTTGTTTATTATTTCTTCCTTAAATTGTATTTGAACTAAGATTAATTTTGCTATAACAACTTGCTTTCTGTGAATATTTACTTAGTGGTTTCATTTCCATTCTTTGTTGCCCTTAATTTGAAAGTGCTGCTTTGCTATTGATAATTTTGTATTTTAATATGTGTGGTTAATCCCTCTGTGTTTGGTAGGAAAAAGTGATATATTTGAACTTATTTCTATCATGTGATTTTGGATTTTGGATTTGCAAAACTTTATCCTTGATTCTCTTTTCCTTTCTCCAGACTTATTTTCAATCGACATGTCCTTTTTCCACTTCCTTCCTATGCTGGTTTGTAGGTTTTCCAGCCTATTTACCTTTCTTTAGGGTCCTACTTTTTAAAATAATTCTTAAATTATCGACTAATAATTTTAAGCATATTGGATTTGCGGTTTTCTCCCAGTGCTCTAGTTATAATCTCTTCTATCTTGTCATTTTGTTATTTTTCTATTAATTCCTGAGACATAGGTATTAGAATTGTCAAATTGTGAATTCAAGCATTTACCCTTTAAATTTGGTTATTTTTGCTTCATGTATTTTGTTATTTTGTATCAGGTGCATGCATGCTTATGATCATTAGGTTTTCTAAGCAAGTGGACTCATTAATATGAAATGTCCTTCTCTGTCCCTGGCGATGCTGGTCCTTCCTGTCGTCTGTCTCGTCTGCCATCCCACATCCTTCTCATGCCCCATTTTCCAGATGAGGAAACCTGCCCATGGCTGCCCTCTGTGGCAGCGCTTAGCCCTGGGACCCACAAGCCCCAGACCCCGTGGTCCCATAGATGATCATTAATAAGAACCTTAAAGATAAAAGTGAGATGGAAAAAAGTTCTAAGGAATGTCCTAGGGTCAAGTAAGGTTCTAATGAGACTTAATACCACCCGTCTCAATCCACATCTGCCACAATTTACACCGAGTCTGTCTGTGGGGCACAGATGAACCCTCTTGATTGATGAACGTGCTGTCTTCGTGTACTGGCCTTGCCTGTCTTGACCAGGGAAGCAGAAATATCAGTAGAGCTTCTGTATAATCCACACAACTCTTGCAAGGAGGCCCAACTCCTGCCATCTCCTGTCATGAAAAGGTTGCATTCAGAATGTGCAAGAAAAGTCATCAGACCATTACTGACCCCAGTTGGCAGTTCCCAAACACCCAGCACTCTCTTTCTGTTGCTAAAAGGCACTGAAGACTGGTGCCAAATTAAAAAGCATCAGTGGAAAATAGAAACGCAAGCCCTTAGATGAGATCTCTACTAATTAGCATAAGTGATACACAGACCATTGAATTTCGATAACGATGGTTGGTGGAAGTCATTTCAGATGCATCTGTCTGAGCTCTCCTTTCCTTATCTGTGGTGTTTCAGGCTGGTCAAGGGTCCTGCCTCAGGCAGCTCCCGGACGAGGCCCCCGCTAGTAGGGGAGGTCTCAGTGCTCACCGCCATGGCCCCTCAACACAAGGACACCCGTGTTTTCTAAATGTTACCTTTAAAACAGCTCTGCACAGAATAGAATCAACTGTATCTGTGAGGGACAAACTCTACCACTAAATCCCTGGCCAGGGGAAGACCTGCTGAGGTGATCTACTGTTCTAAGTAGTGAACAGATTTAAGGATGCAAATGATATCATTGCTGCTCTGAAAGAACCTGCAAGCTGGTTAGGAATGTAACTCATGCCCTCAGTTATCATATGAGTGAAATACAGCATGCATGTGCTCCGAAAGCACACGGGGATCTGTGGAAGCTGAGATGATCTCTTCTTAGGAAGACGAGTTGGTAGCTCGTGGTGTGTAGCATCCGGCCAGGCTGGGAGGGTCCTGCGTCCGCGAGGGAGAGTCCAGGGTAAAGGCTGCAGGTCCTGTCCTGTGACACCTGTCTGTCTCTGGTGAAGCTTATGCTTCTCTGATATTTTTGTTTTTCATTGATGAAATGTAGTTATTGGTAGTCCCTACTTAACACAGATGATTGGAGGGATACATTCATTGATGTTTTAAAAATATGTAGCACAGAGTACAATTTATAAAGAGGACACGGCAAATTAGGCTTGGAGAAGGCACGCATCAGGTTGGAGCAGAGCCACTTGGTGGACAGCCTCATGCAACTATTAAGGAGCTGGCACCACTCAACACTGCCAGGGGACAGCCGCAAAATGGTAAAGAAAACTGTAACCAAAGGGACCGCATGATGAATAGTTTCAAGGGAGCAAATCTGGAACCAGTGTGTGGAGCCAGCAGGGTTCATTTGCGGTTGTCTAGTGGAAGGAGACAGGGCCAGGCAGGACCATGGCCTTGGGAACCATGTCCAGGCAGGTATGGAGGAAGGGCCCACGTGAATGGAGGCGAGGTGGACACTCACACTCACACACACCTGGCCTGGCCGCCGGGGACTGCCTTACATGGGAAACGCGACCCCTCCCAGCCCACACTCGGCGCTGTTTACTGTGGAGAGAGGGATGGCGGCTCCTCGGCCTCAGTCTCTGCCGGGCAGCCACGCATCTACCCCTCAGTGCTGGGGGTGCCTGGAACTGTCCGAGGGTGCTGCCAGCCATGTCTGAATGGAGCTGGGCCACACGGGAGGCTTAATGGAAGACATGGTCTGGGAACACCAGGGAGACCTTGGGCAGCGTGTTCTCGCCGGTGGTGATACAGTTCCCTGATGGTGGCGGCAGGGATCCCCCGATGGTGGCGGCACGGATCCCCTTGATGGTGGCTGCAGGGTCCTGCTGGTGGGGACTTGTCCCAGGAAGCCCCAAGGCTTTGGTAAGAACATCTGATCTGAACCGGCACTGGGGTTGGAAAGGGCACTGTTCATCTGTGTTAGACGCTCACTTGGCCCAGTGTTAGCAAACTCTTTTTTATTCCGTATTTGGGCCTAATCTTAATTAAAAATGCGTTTGCACGTCTGACAGGGTTTGTCCCCCGGGTTGAATGACGCTGGCTCCTACTTCAGAAGCTCTGCCCCAGAGCCCGCCTGCACAATAATGATTTGCTCCAATACCTTCTGCAGATCCCTCTTACTGTTGAAGCAATTGTCACATGTAAAAGCAGTGGAATACGGGGAACCCACATATTTAAAGCAGAGGAAAGGTGTGGGGTGGGAGCAGTCACTGCACCTCCCTGGGCCGCCCTCCCCAGCACTGCCTGAGAGCCCCGGCCTTTGACAGATGAGGTCCCGGGCTACCCGCTTCTTCCCAGGCCTGTGAATGGTAACATGAAGCAGCCGTGAGTCCACGTGGACCAGGGGAAGTTTGTGTGAAAGAGCGCCCGGGATCATGAGGAATAATAAACACGCCGCCAGCCAAGAGGCTCATCTTCCCTGGTTTTTATCATTCCATAAATGCATCTTGGAGCCAAAGTGCTGCGAACACTTCAGTTAATAGGTTTTGGGCCTGTCCCTCAAAGAGCTACTCTACAGGAGAGAAAGCTAAGCATGTCAAATAGAGAAAACATCTCCAAAAAATAAGTTTTAAGGTGACACAATTAATAAACCATCACTTGGGAAAAGTTAAATATATTTTTAAAAAACTAAGGCAAACAGTAACATGAATCCCCTTTCTGAGAGACAGTCACTATCGTATCTCTCTCGTCTGTAGAACATCTTAATTTAGATCTTAATTTAGATGATCATCGGGAAGCTAACATTTCTGAAACTGACCTTCTGCCCCACCAAACTGGCCCCAGCAGTCTTTCTAATCCCATTAAATAGCAACTTCATCTTTTAAAATCTTGGAGCAATCTTTTATTTCTTTACTTTCCCATGACTCCAGTTTCAGACAGTTGCTTTCAAAGTGTGTCTGGAACCCATTGGTTTCACACGTCCCTCTCAACCATGTCAACCCAAGCACCCGTCGCCTCCCAGATGGTCACTGAGGCAGCCCCTGCTTTAACCACCTGCCCTCGTCGGAATCCACATGGCTCATTGCTTATCTGTGCAAAGTGCTCCAGGACAGAGATTCCCATTGGCCACACTCCCTGTGCGCCCCTCACACTCACAGTTGGGCCCAGTACATGTGGACAGGAGACATTTGCTGAGGGGTACATGAGTGAATGAATGAATGCTCTGATGTTAGCACCAGCCTTTTATCTATCAGAGCTTTTAGTGCTTTTTAATAGCTTTGAAAGTTATCTTGTATTCATTCTCTTTCTCCCCAGAACATTACTGTCTATTTTCACATGTTTATTCCTTGGGACTGGGCACAATTTGGATCCTAATCTTTACTTAATTACATGGAAACAGCTTCAGCAGTATCTGAAGATGTGCTCGCTTTTCTTGCTGATGAACAAAGACAATGTGGTCTCCAAAGCAACATGGGTGTCATGTCAGGGAGACTGAAGGGGCTTGAGCACTTTAGACTAGAAAGTGTTCTTGAGAAAACATGCATGGTAACACAGGAAGCCTAAGAAGAGTATGAGGCAGAGGAAGAGGAGCGTCACCTAGAACTGCAGCCTTGAAGCTTTGTTTAATTCACGAAACGGTGCTGGAGACCAACGCCCAGAGTGAGCAGGAGACACAGAAGCTCCTGAGAAAGGAGCTGCCAGCTGCCAACTCCAGCCTGGCTGCCTTTCCAGAA